CCCTCCCTTCACGGAACAATTTCACCCATCGTGCCACTGTGCGATATGACAAAGCAGCATCACCACGTGCTTTTCGCAGTCCCTGATAAACAGTTTTGTGCACTATGACCTTGTGCAACTTCAATTTTTATCCAGGAACGTTGTTCTTGTTTCGTACACATGTTGTTAGGGTGCTTGAACTGGGATCCTGCACTTCAAGACGATGCACAATGCAACTCAATGAGACACAACCAAAGCCACTCATTGCACTACTTCAACTGAACTTCTGCTTTCAGCTACAGACGGCGCTAGTGTCACCTGATGCACATCTTTCATGTTACAGCAGTGTTGCCACTACTTTTTATCCAACCCTTGTATTAAGCACAACGGCTGATTCACAAGCACTGCCTACATGTCTCCCCAAAAGTTGGACATATTCAAACTGTGGCATTAGAATATCTTGTTATGTAGTGTATGTATGTATGTAAGCATCAGTGTGTCCCTTATGTCAAGTGTTTCAGGTGTTACTCAAGTCTGATACAAGTCAATGTGTTTACTCTCACATGTACATATGTGCAGCAAATTATGGGCAGAATACATAAGTATAAGTAATCTGAGCTTGCAGGTGTGCAGAAAATAGTGGGTGGGCCTTCTGCTCATACCAACCACCCAATTAGCAGTCACTTGTGAGCAGAAGTTTAAGAAAATTGTCAACTCTCTGACTAAGATAATGCTAAAAATGAGAATGCCAAATTCTTTGTCAGCATTTTCAGAGTCCCATTATAACTGCTTCAAAGACAAATAAATATTGCGGTGTCAATTTTATTGTTTAAACCTTGGTGCCATATTGTACTATACATAGTGGGAAGTTACGTGACAAACTTATAGTTACATATTTACACCATTTTCAGATATTATGAGTATCTGTTACAACAAGCATTTTTCAGAATTTTATAGATGCCTGCAATATGACATTACACTACACATGCATGTCTGTAGCATGCTAAAGGTAAATACACAATTACAGGAATACAGTACAGTAACCAACCAGCATTAGAGCACAGCTTGTCAATGCCTTTGATGAGCTTATGTCGGTAACCATACGCACTAACTCCAACACTGAGGATGGAAATTTTCTACCACAGTTACCATACTTTAATGTATAACAAGGTTACAGAGGGGATATTTTAGGGAAACGAACTAGCTATGCCATCAGACTGTAAGACATAAGCAGATATTTGGCAGTACTCCCCCCCCAAAGGGAAACTTACACATTCTAATGGAAGTGGTACACATACTACTGTGAAAATGAGATGCAATAAAATGGCCACCTTCCTCAGTGCCAGTGTCTAGTGAAATAATCCATCACTCACTGTAATATCTCACATGGTACTGTCTGAATCTTTTCTGTGATTCTGGCCTTGAGTTCGTCAAAATTGTGGGCCATGTTTGACACACACAAATCTTCAGATCTCCTCACAAATAACAGCCAGGGCCAGATAAATCTGGAAATCTTGATGACCCTGTTAAATTACCACACTACGAGAGAAGGTGATCTGGAAACAATTTGCACAATTTTATCATGCTTAATTTTGAAGTACAAAATTTAGTGTCACACAGCTGGAATCACTGTGCAGTCTCTTAACTCTTAAAATCACTCCATTTCAGATGAAGACAGCTTTCTCATTTATGTTGGTGACAGGCTCTTCCCACAGTTACATTTCTACCCTGTTCATCTTAAAAACATCTAAGGTCCAATTATACCTACAAATGAAATGGTACTCCATATTTTAAATCCCATGGAATGAAAACAGATGTTGACAGCTTGAGTTCACTCTAGACCAATACTGAAGGCTGTGATGATTTATAAACACTGAGAGTTTAAATTGTGCTTCATCACTCATTAACAGATGAAAAATCATGTCTGTCTGTCTGTCTGTCTGCCTGACTCAGTTCCTGAATGAGACACATCCTGTATGGGTGAAATTTTACATGCTCAATGCTAAGTTTTGGTACTTATAAACTGATCTGGGAATCCTAAATGATTGCACTTCATACCCTTACAGTGTTCACAGACATACAGACAGAAGCCTATTGACTAGGATATTTTAAGTCTTTTATGCTTCCAAACCTATGTCAATGTTATGCTGTGAGAAGGAGTGCTACACACACTGAAACTTTGTCTCAACCGTGCTGCATTTAGGTGGCCAAATGTGTTTTGATGACAAATTTGACACATACAAGGGTTGGAACTTTAATAGTGGCAACACTGCTGTAGAGACGTCATGCAATGGAACCAAATAATGTCACTTATAGCACACATTAGTTACATATCTACCTTAGCTCAGAGCGAATGGACTCTCCCTCCCCACATCATGCACATGCACGTTGACGAGAAGAACAGAGTGTCATGTTAGCTGGTGGTCTAATGTAGTGTTTTGACGACGTTTTCGAAACAGGAACAAGGGAGTTGGATAAATATTGAATGTGCCAGATGCCGCACAACACTACACTGTCATCAAGGTCTTCAAGAGGCTTGCGGGGAATCTGCATTGCCTTAGAGAACAGTGGCAAGGTGGGTAAAAGCCTCCAACAAGGGACACCAAAATGTGGCAGACATGCGTCAGCCAGGTCATCCTAGTGTCAGTGAAGAAGTGTATGCTCTTTCCGCGTTACTGGAGAGTGATGGATGCCATACGATTCATGACCTGGCCCAAGAGACAGGATTAGTGCATACGACTGTGCTTCACATTCTGAAGGAATGCCGGGGCATGACAAAAACTGCATCACAATGGGTTCCGCATGATTTGACGGAAATGCAGAAATGGCTGTGATACGACGCTGCCTGTAACCACTTGGAGCGCAAAGGAGAGTATGCTTTCTTATGCCGTATCATTATGCTGGATGAGACATGGGCCAAATCGTACGAGCCACAAATGAAATGCCAATTGAATGAATGGCATCATTATGGGTCACCATGAAAATCAAAAGTTCGTCAGAACCCCAGCAATGTGAAAGTTATGGTGATTCTCATGTATAACTGTGATTGTGTTATCCTAACGCATACCATTCCCCAACAGCAGACCGTCAATGTGCAATATTACTGTTCATTTTTGGAACAAAACCTGTGACCAGCTTTGAGAAAGAAGTGCTGACAGTTTCTGCAGAACCCACCCATCATTTTGCAGGACAATGCTCGGCCGCACGCAGTGCAAGCTGTGGCTGATTTGTTCGATTGATGGGGCTGGGAGATTCTTCAGGCAGTAGACCACTCCATTCTAACTATCAACACAACAGGCGATGCTAAAGGTATCCACATTGCTGGCAACGGTTTGTACAGAATGCTGGTGACTACACTGAAGGACAGTAAGACTTTGAAACATGCATCTATTTTGTATCAGTTGTAAACAAATAGTTGCCACTATTAAAGTTCCAACCCTCATAAAATACAATTTTTTATCAATCAAATATCCACCTCAGCGGTCACTTGTGTATTGCCAACCAAACTCTCATGCAAACTCTACAAGCCTATGACCTTTAATATCTCCCAACTCTGTGTTAACATATACAATTCAAAATAATAACAGCAGCCTTCTATGCTCCATCCTGTTGAAAAAACTGCAAGAAAGGAATAAGGCTGTTCAAAAAAGACTTTGTGTATGATTTGAAGTTACAGTGAGACTGTTAGGAACCCATTGCCAGGATACGACTAGTGAAGACTGCGAACAGGAGTGTGTGTAACAGTGAATTGTAAAGTGCGGAGATGAGTGATTGCACTGTATTGCCCGTAGTTCAGATTGGTATGTGTAAGGTGTCAATAAATCAAATCATCCAACCTGAAACCCATCTATAGTCATGCACCCCTACATGTGACAATACAGAGTGTCCCAGGAGGAATGTGCGAGACTTCGGGAGGGTGTTCTTTATGTTAAAGTAAGCCAATATAACCCAAAACACCTATGTCCAAAGTTGAATGGTTACAGAGATAATGGCCAGAGAAGTGCGAAACTTTGACAGGTGTTACACACTTGTTGATTACCAAATACATATTAAAACTGGCAGGAATATGTGGTTTCTGTAATTTTAATAATGTACGTAACATCAAACTAACTTGTGAGTGACATGAAGCCATTAAATTGAACTACCAAAAAAAAAAAAAAATCGCATGCCATGTCATAGTTGTCGTTAGCTTTCCAAGCGCTATAATGACACATGAATGGCAAGCACTGACGTAACATGGCTGACTGTGCATTCTGGTATGCGAGTGTATGCAGCTAGTGTGAGCCGTCATCACCACACTCAAGGAGAAACATCGATAAGACTTGTCAGCTGACAGGTACAGTGCGTGGACCTGCCAGAAGACCACACTTTTCTTGGGCCATTATCTCCGTAACCGTTCAACTTTGGACATAGGTGTTTTGGGTTATATCGGCATACTTTAACATAAGGAACACCCTTCCGAAGTCTGGCACATTCCTCCTGGGACACCCTGTATATAATTGCATACATGTCTGGTAAAAACATCCAAAAAGTGATTATGTCGCATTTTCATATGTATATATTTCAGCTCCCCAGAATGTTTCTGGTAAGTTTATAACGCATCTACTCTTATCTTCCACCATTATGCTATTGCAACAGCTGTTGCAATTTATTTCTGGAACTAATGTCATGCAAAATTATTTAGTATGTTTATTACATTTGGTTGTTGTGATGAAGAAATCTGCTGCTCACTGTAATGTTCTTCTGCTTTTCTCATGTAGCTGCCTCAGATTCTAGGTTACATGGGTGAACCAGCTGTTTTATTTGGGTGTCCTTGAGCAATTGCTATGCAAGTTTTTGCCTTACAGTTTTGTTGGTTTCTGGGTTTGTGGGCTGTGGCTCACCTGACTGGTTTGTTTGGGTGGATGTTCGTTGTATGGTGGTTGGCCATCATGGTAATAACAGACACCAAAAAAGAGGTACCCTGACATTCAGAAATAGTGTGCACAGTTAGCAAAATGCCAGACTGATTTAAAAAACCATTAAAGTCTCCCTATGGCAATTCTCTATTTTGTCTTTCATCTACTCATTTACATGAGTTTATATAAGATGACATAACAATCACTCACACTACCTTTGAAATATGTAGGTAGCATATTTACTGAACAGCCCTCATAAAAATAAATATAATATAATGGAATCCATACACATTCTGGGAGAGAAAACTAAATTATGACAACACATTCTTAACAAAGTCACCAATAAGTACTGAGGGAAAATTCTCCAGGAGTAATGCAGCTGGGGCATGAAACTGACCACCCACCTCCATCTAAGTACTGAGGTCAAAGAAGGCAAAGCTATACCTCCACTCCCACCATATGCCTTCATACTATAGCACACAGTGGCAAGTTTACCTTTTTACCAATATTAAATTTCACGAAAGTCCATTCAATCAGATTGAGGTTATTTCATGCCAGCCCATATAGCAAACACAATATACAGCTGAAAGAATCTTCATGAGACTGGCCAATCAATTTGTAACTTACATGACACAGCTGATCATCTGAGAAGATTTTATCACTCTGTCACTGTGATAGCTTCAAGTCCTGCTACGCACAGCCACCTGTGCAAGTACCTAAAGATCTTGCATTCTTTAGTTCATTGACCTCGCCAAGAATCCTGCAGCTGTTGCTACATCGCCCATGCCTGCTGCACAACATCCCTCTGCAGCAGATACTGGAATGCACAGAGTCACACTGACGTTCCGGAGGGCATTATAACAGTCTCTGTCACCACGGGTGGAGAAAGTGCTGCAGCCAGTATAGGTGTAGGAGACGCTACAGCAATAGATGGAGGCCATGAAGGTGGAGCAGACGCTGGTGCTGTGAGGCCATTGCATCTTGAAGCAAGCAACGTACATCCTCTGCTGATGCCAAATCCACAGGCAACTGACCCTCCTGATTTTTCAAAAATGGATCTGCTCCATGGGCAAGCTTGCAATAGAAATTATATCTGACATAAGCACACACAGTTTTGTCATTACAGTATAAAACTTGAATAAAACTGTGTTGATATACGTAGTTTTTACAGCATTAAATTAAAAAATATATTAATGCTAGAACTTAATGACTCGCTAGGAACTCACGTGGGGGGGGGGGAAGTCACTGCTTACTCATCACTATACAGTATAAAATAAACAGCCAAACTTTTAATTTATAAATCAACTTTTTTTTTTTTTTACTTTTCTCTGTCTTACATATTTACACACTGTATTTTTCTGTGTGAAACAGCAACTGAAATACATTTTTTTTAATTTTTA